GTCACCTATGATCGCAGGTGAAGACTCCAATTCTTCCGCGTCTGCATCTTTGATTCCTTGCGTCGGTCTTCCCAATGCCATATTATCGTTTACACCCCAAGACCATACCTATTAGAACAAATTATTAGCCTGTTCATACGATAGAAGCGTCAATGCAGTGCCTTGCCGTCGGAGTCGACCACTAGAGAGTGCATGCCACCGGCGACAATTTGTTCCACTCCATGTCGACCCAATTGACCACCTTCCAAAAGATCTTGTATCTTCGTATGTAGACGAGGACGTGATATCTCAGTCACTTGATCCACACCCATTCCTAGTTGACCAAATTCAGGAGAACCGTGGACTAGAACAGTGACTGAGTGGCCGGGAAACGGTTTCAAAGGTTGGACAGCGGGGTTCAGAGGTAGCGAGCTTCGACGAGGTCGCTTGTTTGTACGAAATTCTGCATGCGATCCCGAAGAGGCAGAACGTTTCTTGGACATGATTTCTGAGCTTGAAGACGCAGTGGCAAGAAGACTTTGGTTGCCCCTCTGTTGGCCTTTTCTGGTGAGTCGCTTTAAAAGGACGTTAGTAAAGCCTTTGTCTAAAACTTTTGAAAGGATGAAAGGAAACTTACAGAACGATCGTATACAGTCTCCTTCCTTAACGAGCGCCTTCTAGTGGCTGCAGGCATTTTGTATCTCAAGCGAGTAAAAGAAGACAACTTCAAAGACCCTTGGGCCTTTAGAAGGAAAACAAGACAGTTTTGACGGTGCAATTTTCGGACCGGACTTCAGCAGTCCCGGATCATTTTAATAAGCGGCGAGCAGTCTTTCGGTTCTGAGTGGATGATTCCAGCGCCAACGAGTTTTACTATAAGTACATTTAGAAAGCTGCAAGGGTGGTAGTGATGAGAGGTGTGAGTACATGTATAAATGAATTTGATTTCACATGTGTAAAAAATAGCAATGAAAGAAATTGCATATATGACAATACAGGCAAACATGTGATGCAAGAAAAATCGAGAGGGTATGTATATATCTTGGAGAACAATCATCTCCTCCGCTGCACTTCAGTACCATCAATCGGTACCCTTCTCGGACCTGAACCACGACCTGCTCCGACAAGCAACTTTTTTGGCAGATTCTGTGAAGTAGACGAAGAAACCGTAGGTTTCACGGTCGTAGCATCTGTCCTAGATGCGTTAGTGTTCGCCTTCGTCATCGCTTCTTTGCCACCCGTAGCCTTTGTGTTCTCCTTTTCTTTCCCGACTTTGGATTGGACTAACCGAGCATTCTTGACACTAGGCGCAGGGCCTGGTTTAGGTCTTGCTTTCTCCTTGCCCGAGATCGGGTTCCTGGATTTTACTGCAGGTGCTGGTTCTGTATAGAGCATTCTACCTTTTGCGGTCGTCGATTTTCCCGCTGCACCCGCCCTCGAACCTCCAGCAACATTTGATTCAACTTTCTTCTCTCTCAACGGCGACTCTGGTCTCTTAGGTTGAGCCTCAGGGCTCTCGGGCGGAGATTCAGACACGCCAAGTTGTTGGGCCAGCGACATGGTCTCTTCTGTCTCCGCAGATTGAGGGATCTCGGGGAACATAGAGTCTATTGACTCCCGATCCCGTACCATTTCCGTGTCAAGTTCCTCGATCTCTTCCATAAGCGCCTCAAGCCCTTTCGACATATCCGAGTCAGATTGAGGAGTTGTAGGCGGTGAGTTTCCTAGCATTAATATACGACTTAGTGGACTGGGTCTGGCTGGTGAATAAGCGTGAGTCATGCGAGGTGCGTATGGTTTAGCCATAGGGAATGGAAGACGACGGCCTCCTGATTGAGGTGTTTGGGGAACAAGGTTATCGGCAGCTGGCGAGATCTGAGATGGCAATGAGGATTCTGGTGGAGTGGCATATTCTGCGTCCAGTGCATCATCAAAAGCGCCTTCTTCCTGAGATTCAGTAGATGCTTCAGAGACTGTGATAATGAATGGTTTTGATAAAACCAAGCTGGATTTTGCGGGAAATGATGCTTTGGGTGAGGGCGGGGGGAGTACGAAAGAGGTAGGTAACAATGATCCAGTATTCGAGATGGCTTGCGCGTCCGAGGATGTCGATGGAATGTATTCGGTCTCGTAGGCCGGTTCCAGAGCCTTACCCTTAGAAGGAGACGCAACAACTGCGTAGGACGATGTACGTCGTTTGGCCGTGCCCACCCTAGTTGTTTTCCTACCGCTACCGGCTTTGCCCGATGACTTCTTGAGTGCTTTGGATGCCTGGGCTGATGTAGAACTCCTGAGACTAGATTTGCCTTTAGACGATGAAGAACCCGAAGCTTCTGGGGTGGCTGGTAGGTCTGCTAGCATCACCTGTACCTGCCAAGAGCGCTTTTCTTCCTCGAGTCTGAGCTTTTCCGCCTGAACAGTTGTTAGTGTAATGGAAAAGTCTCCTCAGAATGAATGTCTGACCTCAAGTACTGCTCTTTCTTTCCCAAGGCGAATAGTAGCCTCGGTGAACTGAGTTCTTTCCTCCTCAAGCTCTTGCTTTTGTATCTCTAACCGTTCCTGTTCTTCATCTCTCGCCGGTGCAGTTATTAGGTCAACACTGAGATCAACACCAGAGCTGCCTTCGCGACGTTTTTGGGAACGACCCATAGCCAAACGATGATCCGTGGCAAACCGGTCAAACATAGATTGAGTTTCGGCAGCTTGAGCAGTAGCCCGCTCTTGTGAAGCTTCTATAGAATGTTCAGCGCTAGGAAAGAAACGAACATCACTAGGTCACACTTACGCAACTCGGACTGAAGTTTCTCGACGAGACCTTGGAGACGTTCTACTTCTACACTTTGTGAGGGTGAAGTTCCTGTTTCTTTCCCTGTAGGTGAGGTGCTGTCATGTTCGACATGTGAATTAGAGAGCGTAGTGAGCTTCCGCCGTAAGTTGAAAAGGAGATCGTTCATCGTTCCGATAGTGAAATCAGGAGGAACCAAAGGGAATAAGCTTGTAATTGTGAAGTTATTAGACTGAAATTCGAGTTAAGCATAAAACATGGCCTTGAGCAAAATGCGGGACGCACCTCCTCATAGTCTTCCATTTTGTCCTGGTCCACTCCATTCGAAAGTCTATGCATTTCGTTTGCAACCTGCAGTATGATTGCTTTAAGCCCTAAATTATCCTTTCCAAGTTGTTCTCTGGCTTTCTCCGCGTCATCCAGAGCAGTCTCTAAGATGCCCTTGCCCTTGCCATAAATCTGGCTGGCAGCACTTCCCTCAACCACGACGGCATTGGAACTTGACGCTTTGAACTTCAGTCCACTCGCTGTTGCCCCAAGCTTCGTCTGCGAATCGGCGATCTTCTGCCATTTCTTCGACATTCTTTCAATCTCCTTTTCCCTCTTCTTCAGTTCAGTCTGATGTGTGGCACGAACTTGTTGCAAAGATGTCCGAGTTCGCTGGAGCTCGACAGTAGTCTGCTTGTGGGCAGTTTCGCTTTGTTGAAGGTTCTTAGTGCAAGACCTGAGATGAATGGGATATGTAAAGCATCTTCAGAGAAACGGACTGCGACGTACGCGAGACGGGACTTTTGCGTATTAAGTTCCCTTTCGAGATTATTTACAGTATCCGACGCAGTTTTGTGCATAGAAATCATCCGTTCGTGATCGTATCGTAATGTCCGAAGCTCCGTAGTAAGCTGTTCTGCCCTAGACATGTCTTTCTAGGATTCGAGATGAATTTACAGGGATGGCGTGCCAGAGTGAAGCACTACTCACCATTCTCTGAGCAAGCAGATCCATGAGACATTTTACTACTATATCCATGCTCGAGTTTGATATCCCGTCAAGGCAGAGTCCCGGTGGTGAAACGTAGCCATGAGCTATCAGCTGGCTGTTGACATATTGGAGGCTTGATGTCGAGACTATGGAAATAGAGGATACATCTGACGCTGGAGATCCAACATCAAAGCCTGGACTCTGGAGGCCCCAGTGGACACCTTTTTTTGCTGGTGTCACCATCGCAAGTGGTTCAGTTACCGCGAGGCTCGGACCGAGACGTGGTTGAAGAAAACGCGTGTTACCACGTGACCGTATACACCCATTTAATTGGCCATCATGAATGTTCCAAGCTGACCCTCTATCTTCCTCCATTATCATAGATTCCTGGATTGGAACAAGATGTATATATGATACTCGGATTTTGAAGCAATCGGTCACCTGGCGAAACTACGGGGGCAAAATTTCTAGCAATCTCTGGCCGATTATAACTCTCCACAGCTAAATTACATTACGCTCATAATTCGACTTGACCTCGAAAGCTCGAACATCTACAAACTACGGAAGTTGATGTAAACCTTGGTTACTAGTATTCCATGGTAGCCATTTTTATCGTCGACTACCTGCTGCGACTCTGGTTCTGCTTTTCTCGTACACTCAAAGTCTGTGGATTGTGCGCAACATCATGCCCATGTTGGCCACCTGTGAACAATACCTGGATAAACAACCATCAAACCATCAGCGAGGTGGGAACCTAACGAGGACCCAAGCCGAGACAGAGAGATATGCACTCTACCTTTGGTGGGTTCTTCACGCCTTGCTCCTGTGCTTGCGATTCGCTGGTTACTATCTCGTCTACCTGGACAACAATGTTTAGAACAACGGACATCGTTGGACTGGCTCAACCCACTATTCCTTCCCACTTTCCTCCCCGTAACTTTGTCATCACCGTGTCACCTTCGTGAATCTGTCGGCCACTTTTGTCATACACCTTGGAGGTATGTAGTAGTCATTGGCTGGATACTGACAAGGTCACCTTCGAAAGCAGGTCTTATTATAAATGACTCGTCTGGTTATTGCATCTGCACTTCGGTTGGCTGAAGCCGCGATGATGTCATGATCTACGTTCTTCAGAGACTCAAACTTGGATCTCTGGCTGAAATATTATATGAGCAGGTAAAAGGGATGAGAAATGAACAAAAATTCGATGTAAAGCGCAGGTCACCATCTTCATGAGGCTACGTTGTCCTCGAGTATCTGCCCCATGGCTGAGTTGGTTACAGCGTCCGACTGTTATCACTAAGAGCAATCGGAAGGTCGAGAGTTCGAGCCTCTCTGGGGCAGTTAGGCCTAGATAAGTTGCTTTTTGTCCTCTTCTTGACTCACTATAGGAGATCACTAATTCAACTCTTCAGAGATAGATTCACCACTGACTACATTCACCACTAATTACCCTCTTTGGTTACCTCTGCCCTTGCCTCTCACATTCCGTATACCTCTTGTCATGTTAACACCCACCCTGCCTCTATAAATCCCCCTCGCGTGAACAGGTCGTGAGCCTGGCACAGCACCGCCTATATCAACATTGTTATGTCCCTGCTCGTTTGAGATTCCAACTCCATTGACGAGACCGAGGCCTTGACCCCTACCATTTCTACCACCTCGTCCGCGCCCCTGGGATGGAGCCGATCCTTCACTGGCGTGCGTATCGTTGTGAGCAAAACCTGTTTTCTTCCCTCCTCGTCCGAACCTGACGGCCGAAGGGACAAGAGACAAGGACGACATTGAATCCGCCAAGTTGTCCAAAGTATCTTTGTTCGTCGTATCCTGTTCCAGATCCAACTGAACATCTTCATGGCCTGTACCGTTATAAGCCTCCTTTCCGTCATCATTTGTAGCTTCTTCGTCGTTGCTATCTTCGTTTTCCGGTTCTTCGCGTTTTTTCCATTCTCCCCGGATCATGCTCGCACCCTCCCCCCATTTCTTCAGTAAACCTCCGACCCCCTTGTTTGTTACAGCAAAGAAATACTCTTTCGGATAATGATGACCTTGAATCAAATGTAGACGTCGTGCCTTTGGTGTGAGGAATTTTTTATTACAAGTACTCAGAAAACATCCAAACTGCAAAGGAAAGAAATCAGATCAATAAACACGAAGAACGAGAGAACATCACGCACAATCTTCTCTCCTCTCTCTTTCCGCACAGCAACTAGTGGGTCGTGACACTCAGTTTGATGCTGTAAGGAAGGTAACCATTGAATGCGCTGTGACACAACGGGTGGTAATTAGACGGACGTACCAACTCGAGCAGTTTTGCTTCAGGAAAGACGCAACGACACCCAGGCTCTTCACATACGTGAGCATGATAGTTAGCATAGTGTATTTCCAAATCTTTAGTATTTGCTATTGGCGTAGGATTGTGATTACATGTCGGTGGAAGCGAACACAGCAAGGAATGAGTCGTCGCCGAAGAACCATCTTGAAGTACTATTCGAGAGGCCTTTGGGGTCGGAGACTGGGTTGAAACGGACTCGGAAGATGAGATTGAAGGTAATCTTGGCCTTTTTGTGGACATGGGTGTTGTAGAATAATCAGAGCACTGTTCGCAGCATAGCTTGTTGAGTTTGAGTGGTTCAAGGAACGAGATCACGTCGTGCCAGATTCCAGTGCTTCGGACCTTCGGTGATTTGTGTCAACGTGACTCGGCTTTAGTCTTTTTCTTACCTTTTGACGCGATGTCCTCTAAACGCAAGTGGGATCAACCTGGTCCAGGAGATGGAAGCCCTCCCCCAAAGGAGAAGGTAGAGGGTGCACAAAGTGACGCTGCAGCTGCGGCTGCTGCAATCGCTGCAAAAATCGCAGCTCAGTTTGCAGGAGGCGGACTCTCCGGTGCGATGAAGGATCCACACGACGCAGAGTATACTCACGACATTGACATTAACGATGTCAGGAATCGATATCTGTTGACCAAATCATCGACACAGCAGGAGGTTTGTGTTGATTACACCTTTTTTTTCTCACTTCTGGTGTCTAATAACAAGTATTCGCGGTCTAGATTCACGACGAAACAGGAGCGTCTGTGAGCACCAAGGGAATATGGTATCCTGACAGAAGCAAGGCCACAGAAAAGGACCCTCCTCTATACCTCCACATTATGGCTAGTACGAGGGATGTTCTTCAGAAAGCGATCGACAAGGTTAACGAGTTGATTGCAATTGACATGGGCTCTCTGGTTGATGACAAGAAGGACAAAATGAGAGAAAAGGTATGTGGAATAATCAAGGCTCGTTGTGATGTCTTTCAAACATGTTATCTTCAGCGAAAATGGCCCGAAGAAAAGCTTCCCGTCGGACTGGACAGTATTCGAAACTTTAACGTCCGTGCCAAAGTTGTCGGTCCCAGTGTGAGTCATCGCACATCTTGTCCTCTCGTTCTCAATTCAATTTCGTTTGCAGGGCTCTTTCGTGAAATACATTCAACAAGAGACAGGGACTAGGGTGCAAATCAAAGGCATAGGCTCTGGTTTCGTTGATCAGGAAACTGGCCGAGAAAGTGATGAACCTTTGTACATTCACATTACGTGCGTCTGGCCTCTTTAACTGTTCACCCAAAACTCACGCAAGTCTGTAGAGGTCCTGAGGAAGGTCAAGTCGCTAGAGCTAAAGTGTTGACAGAGGATCTTCTCCTCGTAGTCCGTTCAGAACACGCTAAAATGGCAGCAGTCGTTCAACAACAACAAATGGAGCTCCACCAGATGCAAACACAATATGCAGCTTACAGCGCGATGGCGGTAGGTTTTCACTCTCATATCCTATCCAGATCTTTTGCCGCGCCGGCTCGTCGTGTTTTCCCTTCGTATAATCGATGCTTTCTCTCTCAACAAGCCAAATCAGCCAATCGAATCATGATGCATTGAGTATGATATTAATGTTTATTGGTACACTGACACATATATTCAGGGCTATGGTGGTGCAGCACCTCCACCCCCTTCGGGTGCCCCTCCACCTCCACCTCCGGGCGAAAATCCTCCACCCCCTCCTGACGGTGGCGCGCCAGGGTACCAGTCACCTTCCGGACAACCTGGACAGCCTCCAGCAGATGCCTCGGGTCAGGATTCATACGCTGCATACTGGTAAGCACATATCATCCCTTCCGTTAATCGACTGAGGCTCAAAGAAGTTTACTCATGTTCCAGGGCTGCCTATGGCTACGACGTCAACTCACCTCAATTCAAGGAATGGGCTGCGCAACAACAACAGCAGTATAGTGAATACTATGCATCTCAAGGATACAATCCCAATGCACCTCCTTCCTCCGCCTCCCCCCCTGGTGCTCCTCCTGGAGCTGCGACCAATGGAGGTGATACGCCGGCTCCTCCGCCAACTTCTCAACCTCCTCCTCCACCCCCTCCAGCATGATCGCAAAGAGAACGAGAGTTATGTAAAGATTTCTTGTCACTATCTTAGGTTTTTTGAAAAGATATCATTGCACAGATAAGTTGAGATTGCCATAACAGCTGACTTGCTGGTTCACTAGACCATTCGGGCTGATGCTATGATGGTTTATAGTGAATCGCGTGCATGAGAAAACGAGTCAATGCACAAAACACGTTTTCTTTCGTTTGGTATGATTCATGTAAATGATGATATAGAGAAATAACGATTGGTACACAGCACATGATAAGGATAGTGAACGACGTACATCTATGTACAAGAAAAGAGAAAGAATCCTGATTCTGGCTCAGACAAATACATATTTTCAGCGAAATAACAAATTCTGTTAACGCCTTCAAGGCTAGAAACCCAGAAAAAAGGCGACATCGGTAACAGAGGGGGTCTCAAATGGGAAGGAGGTCACCGAGACCACCTAGAGCATTCGCGTCTTCACCGAGATTTTTTGTGAGGTCACCAACGACAGGAAGATCGCCGACGAAAGGAAGACCTTCCGCTCGACGGATAGGAATGAGGTCGGCGATACCACCCAATGCATTGTCGCCACCACCAAGACCATTGGCGAGGTCACCAAGGCCACCGAGCGCGTTTGCATCCCCGCCACCAAGACCCTTAGTGAGATCACCAATGACGGGAAGATCACCAACAATAGGAAGACCTTCTGCAGCTCTACGGATAGGAACGAGGTCGGCGACGCCATCCAATGCATCACCACCACCATCACCGAGGTTGGCGAGGCCACCCAGGCCACCCAGGCCCGTCTGCGCCTCCACCAAGACCTTTGGTGAGGTCACCGATGACGGGAAGATCTCCGACGATAGGAAGACCTTCTGCAGCTCTACGGATAGGAATGAGGTCGGCGATACCACCCAGTGCATTGTCACCACCACCAAGGTTGGCAATGTCACCTAAACCACCCAACGCACCAGCGTCTCCTCCACCAAGACCCTTAGTGAGATCACCAATGACGGGAAGATCACCAACGATAGGAAGTCCTTCTGCAGCTCTACGGATGGGAATTAGATCAGCGATACCGCCCAACGCATTGTCCGCCGCCGCCGCCAAGGCCACCGAGAGCGTTTGCATCCCCGCCGCCATCAAGGCCTTCGGTAAGATCACCAATCATGGGAAGATCACCGACAATAGGAAGACCTTCAGCTCTACGAATAGGAAGGAGGTCAGTGAGACCACCTAATGCGTTGTTGTTGTCGCCGGCGCCACCGAGACCTTTGGTGAGGTCACCGACCACAGGAAGGTCACCGACGATAGGAAGAGCACGGGAGATAGGTTGGATGGGGAGAGCGGTTACATAGGCAACAAAGACAAGAGGAAGGAAAGCAGATTTGTTGAAAGAAGCCATGGTGATGATGGCTGGGTTTCGTTGTAAATGAACAATTCAGGGGAAAAATGATCGACTGAGTGAGTGGGTCAACTTCAAGTTGTCCTTGAGGGTGAGTGAGGGGTTGAAGTTGGGGGGAATAGGCGGGTTATTAGGCATATTTATACATATAAGAGAGGTAGAAACCAAGCTGTATCCAGTTGCGAAGATTGCAAAATTCATCATTCTAAGTATACGGTCGGTATCAGGGTTCGAGAGAGAGAATAGAGGCTTCGAAGTCCAAAAAAGATCTGTGTTTAGGGTTTAGAGGAGCCCAAAGTCTTTCAAATTCAACAACCGGTTGCAAGGGCGGGATCTTTCAACACTAGAAGAAGCTCTGCAGCTCCTCGAATTTGTCAGTGCAAAGAATTTGAAGTCCCTTCAGTTGTGTATGCTGAATTACCGGCAACTAATGCAGGACAGATTTCTTGATGGTCGAGTAGTGAGATTTGAGGCGCTTTCCGTCTCCCCGAGGGCCAGAACATTGAAAACCTAAATTGTACTCAACATACTGT